AAATTTTGACACGGGGCCTCGCACTGAGTGGCCCAGCCAGGCCTTGAGTAGGTGGTGTTAACAGGCTTTAAGCCCCACCTCCTGGAGGGGACTTTGCATCTGTATTATTAGATGAGCTGGGGTTCACTGAGGAGATGGTGTGGGAACAACCGAAAGGCGAGCGTTCTGGGGCCTTGCTTTCTGCGCCCATCGCTATCACCTCAGCTAGCAAGCATGGTAACTGAATGCTGCGCCAGGCATTGGAGTGCTGCGCCAGGCGCTGGAGTGCTGCGCCAGGCGCTGGAGTGCTGCGCCAGGCGCTGGAGTGCTGCAAGAAAGCAGATGTTCTCCAGCTTCACAGAGAACTCGCTATTGAGTTCTTCCTTGTAGCTTCTGCGTGCTAACACAAACAGTCGTCCAGAAGTAGCCATGAAGAGTTCTGTAGGCAGAGACTGCGCATTTGTTTTCCCACTACCCTGCCATAGAAACTATATTAATTATATTACTGCTTGGCCTATTAGCTCAGGCTTCTTAATAACTAACTCTTACATCTTAAATTAACCCATTTCTATTAATCTGTGTATCATCATGAGGCTGTGGCTTACCCATAAGGATCCGGTGTCTTCCTCCTTTGGCAGCTAAATGGCATCTCCTTGACTCCACCTACTCTCTCTATATATCTCTTCCAGCCTGGCTGTATTCTGCCCTGCCATAGGCCAATAAAACATATTCACAGTTTTATACAGAGAGGAATCCAACATCATCTCCTCTTTTCTGTCTAAATAAAAAAGAAGATTTTAGCTTTAACATAGTAAAATTACATATAACAAAACTCGTATCAAGCAAGAATTATAATATTTAGTCTATTTGTATCTGGAAAGTTTCATATCTAATTTATCTTTTATCATAACTAAGGAAAACTGTAACTATAACTACCTGTCTTCAACTCCACCAAAGACCCCAGAAGGATATATTATTACCTAAGTTAACAGGAAGTGCATTGTAAACAACTTCCAAAACTCTAGAATTGACAGAGACATCTTGCAGCCTGGACAGTCACCCAAAGTTCTTCTGTAACATTGGGGTATCCATCTTTAGCCCATAGTGGAGGCAGGTGGATCTATGTGAGTTTGAGGTCAGCCTGGTCTATATAGTGATTCGAGGCCAGCCAGGGATACATGAGGAGACCTTGTCTCATAATAAAAACAACAACAACTTGGTAGATAGGTAAAGGTCACTAATACTGTTGTTGTGTGCCTGTAATCCCAGCACTGGAAGGTGGGGGCAGAAGAATCAGGAATCCAAGACCAACCTCAGCTACATAATAAGTTTGAGACCAGTCTCTTGTAGAAGAAATTTTGTCTCAAAAAACCAAAACCAGGGCAGAAAAGACGGCTCAGAGATTAAGAGCACTGCATGCTCTTCCAGAGGACTTGGATTCGATCCCAGAACCCATGTGGCAGCTCACAACTGCCAGTGACTCCAATTCTGAGGGATTTTACCCAGTCTTCTGAACTCCAAAGGTCCCAGGCACACATATGGTACACAGATATACAAGCAGGCAAAACAACTATATTCATAAAATGAAAACAAATCTTAAAAACAAACAAAAAAAGTAATATATATAGTAGACATGTCTTTGACTCCCAAAGAATCATGTCTAGGTTAACAGGGTGTGAACTCATGGGATGACCAGATTTAATGATTTAAGGGGCCTAGAGCAATCCTAGTGCTCCAGTCAGGAGAGAGCCAGGACAGCTGTGAGAAAAGACTTTGCCCCCACCCCCCAGCAGCGGTGTGGCCTCTGAGGTTATCATTCAGGTCAGACTGTCTGGGGAAGTGAGAGAGTGTCACCCTCTGCCTCAGGAAACAACCCTGGGACTAACTAATGCCCCTAATTAAGGGAGGAGGGTGGCTTGACTGGCCTGTGTCCTGAAGAGCCTGCGAAGACCTGGGTCCTCCTCCCGAGGAGCAAGAGAATGTTGGAGATGGACGAGCTTTGTCAGACAGTCTAGGAGAAAGCCCAGATCCCCAGGCAGCTGGGGGCCAATACACACAAGAAATGAGCTCTGTCTGCAACCCAGGTCACATGAGGGCAAGACTTGGGAAGTCTAAGAAAAATGGTTTACTACAAGACATTTGCACAACTGTATTAGTCAGGGTTCTCTAGAGTCACAGAACTTATGGAATGAATCTCTCTCTTTCTTCATATATATCATCCCAATAAATTCCCACATATATATATTTGGGAATTTATTGAAATGGTTCAGAGGCTGCAGTCCAACAATGGCTAATGTGAATAGAAGTTCAAGAATCTAGTAGCTGCTCAATCCCATGAGGAGGCTGGGTGTCTCAATTGGAATGGGTGTACAGGCAAGGCAAGGGCAAGGCAAGCAGGTGAAGAAATAACCCTTCCTTCTTCCATGTCCTTCTACAGGCTTCCAGCTGAAGGTGTGGCCTGGATTAAAGGTGTATCTCTCAGCCTCAAAATCTAGATTACTAATCCCAGCACTAGGAAGGCAGAGGCAGGCAGATCTTTGTAAATTTGAGGCCAGCCTGGTCTACAGAGCAAGTGCCAGGACAGGCTCCAAAACTATACAGAGAAACCCTGCCTGGAAAAAAAAAAAAAAAAAGATCCGGATCACAAGTGTGCCCTCCACATTTCTGTATTACAGTTCATTCCAGATATATTAACCAAGTTGGCAGCCAAGAATAACCATCACAACAGTGTTTCTTTGGTTTTTGTTTGTTTGTGACACATGATCTCATTTATTTCATTTAGTTTAATTACTATGTAGCTGAGGCTAACCTCGAACTGAAAATTTTTCTGCCTCCAATCCCCAGGATTATAAATATTGCCTGCATTTTCTTTTCTTTTTATCCCCTATAACTTTCTTTTTCATGTGGCTGGCCATGGCAGTGCACAAACTTAGGAGGCAGCGGCAGGTAGAGCTCTGTGAGTTCAAGGCCAACCTGGTCTAGGTTGTGAGTTCCAGGACAGCCAGGACTACACAAAGAAACCCTGTCTTAAAAAAACCAGAGGGAGAGAGGTAGAGAGAAAGAGAGATTTATAAACAATTAAAAAAAAACATTTATTTTTACTTATTTATATATTTATGTGTTGTGCCATGGGAGAGGACAACCTTCAGGAGTCAAACTCCTTTCACTATATGAGTCACAGGGACTGAACTCAGGTCACCAGATTTGGTGGCAAATGCTTTTCCTCACTGGGCCATCTCACCTTCTCTTTCTTTTCCTTTTTTTTTTTAAATTTTAAGATTTATTTATTTATTATGTATACAGTGTTCTGTCTGTATGTATGCCTGTACACCAGAAGAAGATACCAGGTCTCATTATAGATGGTTGCAAGCCACCATGTGGTTGCTGGGAATTGAACTTAGGACCTCTGGAAGAGCAGCCAGGGCTCTTAACCGCCGAGTCAGCTCTCCAGTCCCCAGCAGCTTTTTTTCCTCCTTCTCCTCTTTGTCTTACCTCTCTTATGGGAAAGCACCAAGAGTTAAAACAGGGATGTGTGTGGCAGGTGACCTTCCTCTCCCGTTGGCTCACCCTTGTGTATCTTGGGGCCAGGACATCCCAGTCTCATGAGCTTCCATTTTGCCTTCCTGCCATGTCTTGGCCACGGGGTAGAAATGAAATCAATGAAAGTTAGCAGAATGCGCATTGCACATGCCTCTCAATAATTTGCCATTGTTACTATCATTAACTTCAACTCAGTTTGTTTGGTTTCTCTGTGTAGCTTTGGCTGCCCTGGAACTCACTCTGTAGACCAGGCTGCCCTCATACTCAGATCTGCCTTCCTCTCCCTCTCTGGTGCTGGGATTAAAGGTGTACACCACCACCACTTCCAACTCAGTTCTTACACTTCCTATGTGCCACACAGTGCAAGAAGCACAAAGGCCAAAAGCTTAACCATTAGGAGACGCTTCTAGCTGAAGGTAGAAAAGACCATAAAATCCAGACACAGCAAAATCTCACTGTGTAGCCTTGCCAGTGCTGCCTGCCTTTGGAGAAGGGTCTGTTGCCCAGGGAAGGAGCTCCTAACACCACCAAGTAACATTGCTCAAGAACAGCAATATCCAGCCAGAAGTATAATCCTTTCAAAGGAGTTTAGAGCCCTTCAAGCGCTTAGTTTTAAGTGCTTAGGCAGAGATCTCTCCAGCTGTTTTACTCGGGACACATCCAACAAACTGTTACCTGGCCACCCAGGTTTCCAAAACCTTCAGATAAGAACCACTGGGGGTGCTCGTTGAATATGCAGATCGCCGCGCCCTCTCTCTCTGAATTCTAATTCCGAGGTCCGGAGGGAAGTGTGGACGCCTGGGTTTAACAAACACCCTCAGGCAAGTCCAGACATGATGCTCCGTACCTTGGGTCTGAAGTTAGGGTTAGAAATGAAGCTCAGTGCCTATCGAGTTCAAGCGAGACTTCAGTCCCAGTACCACGTAAACCAGGGCACCTGTAAATGTAATCTGAGTACTTAGGAGGTGGAGGCAAGAGGATCAAATTTTGAGGTCATCCTCGGCTACAAAATGAGTTCAAGGCTAGCCTGGGCTACATGAAACCGCTTGGGGAAAAACAAAATGCCTGGGTCAGACAAATGATGTCGAGTGGGGAGGTCAGGAAAAGCCAGCGAATGTGCAGAGAGCATCAGGACCTGCGGCATCCTGCAACCCGAGCCTCGGTCCAGCTGGTTAGAACAAGATCAGGCAGGTCTGCTGGCCCCAGGGAGTCTCTGCCCCATCCTAACACCTGCTCACGTCCCAGCCTATGAAAGAGTGTGTAAAGTCCTCAGCACGTAGTAGGTGTTCAGTAAATGTTAGCCAGCTGCTAACGTGCTAGTTGGAAGCTTTAAAAGGTGGGGGTGGGGAGCAGCTAAGGAGAAAACCAGCAATAGCGGAGGAAAACACGGGGGCGGACGGGACATTGGGACAGGAATTTACATTTCTTTAAAAGGTAATTCTGATCCCGCCTTTCCTTTTGAGAACACAAAGCCTAGGATCTTTCCATTCCCAAGATTCTCTTCTTAATGACTCCATTCCTACGAATTCAGTCATTTGTGTGGTGTGGAAAAAAAGAGGTTCAGTCCTTAAGATAAATAATATAAATTACACTCCTCATGGATATGACATATTTATTCTGCGCAAACATATACACGACTGATTGAGAAAGCACAAGTCATTTAATTCCATCTTGGGCAGACAAGGTGAGATGGAGCAATGGTCTTAAGACCTCGCAGGGCGCCTTGCCACTGCTGGCAGGAGGTACAGCCAGCAGGCCCCAGGTTTTCCTTTCCTCTTCGAAAACTCCCCTAGCAAGCAGGGAAGAGCCTGTGTCACCACCCAAAACACCTGGATTAGCTGTAGCTGGGTCTTCCTCTGCTCCCCAGGAGGGCACTTTGGTATTTGAAACTGACATTTGTCACCAAGGGCCTTCCTCTGTTCTTGCAAATTCCCAGTACCCAGTACTTTCCAATGAAGGCTGTACCCCTGGCTGGCCTGGTGCTACCCAGAACAGAGCCCAGCCCCCCACCCCAGCACTCCCTACCTGCTTTCGGATGAACTAGAAGGAGAGGACCGCCAGGGGTCCAGAAAGAGGCAAGGTAAGGAAGCCATTGTTGTAATTCTGGGCTTGAAGCCAGGGCTCCAAAACACCTCCAGCTCAGCGAAGCACAATTCGTAGCAGGTAATAGACCGCTGTCTCAGAAGTAAGACTTTGCGAGGCAGAGGGGCAATGTGTGGAACAGCCCAGACCCAGTCTCTGTACTCAAGCCCCCCACCCCAATTTATCAGTCACATCTCATCACATCACACCTTCCTCCAGCAGGGGCTCCCCTGCCCTACCCTTCCAGGGGGTTATAGGTTCTTAAGGCCTCTCAGGAGGAAGGATGGGAGGGGGCGGGGCAGCGGTGGCTGAGATATAAGAGACCCAGTCGCTGTTTGCGGGTTCATCCAGCCCACCATGAGTGCCCACTGCCTCCCTATCCTTCTTGTCCATGCCTGGTGGGCCCTACTCCAGCCTCGCGCCGCGACGGTGGCCGCCTTTCCTCTGTGGACACGGGGGCAGCCCTCGTCACCGTCCCCTCTTGCTTACATGCTGAGCCTCTACCGAGACCCGCTGCCTCGGGCGGACATCATCCGCAGCCTCCAAGCGCAAGGTAGGCTGCTAGCCTGGCCTCGCCAGCACCCAAGGGCGCTGGCCCGGGAGGCGCGCGGTGACTGCGGCGGGACTGGGCACCAAGGGGTAGTTCAGGGTCTGGTCTTAACGATGTTTCCGCGTGAGCAGGCTCAGGGAACAGCGCTGGTGGCCGGGACGGAGAGGAACTCAGCCACCACCAGGGGCCACCATCTTTCGGGTTCTAGTTTAGGTGCTAGAGAGTAAGGGCGAGGCCCCGATCGCGCCACTGAGCATCTGGGAGCCTCAGTTTGCCTATCTGTAGTGTAGAAATCGTAGCACCTCCTTTGTAGACTTATGGAGAGGACTGGATGACAACACCACCCCGCCCCCAGAAAGGCTCTGCACGAACCAGATATACAATAGAATAGGTCGTTACTGAGTTTTAGCCCGGCTGCCGCAAATGCCACCTGGAACTAGGGCTTAAGGATCCGAAATTAGGGACCGGGTGCCGCAATTACAGAACTCCGGTAGCTCTCGTTGCTGGGCTGTGTCAGGTGTCCTGGGTGACCCCGGGCTCAGAACTTCCTTGGATCGAGGTGTGTGTATAGTTGACCCAGAGATCTAAGTGTTGCTCACCAGAGAAGATCGACAGGTGGGTGCCCAGGAGAAGGAGTCCAGACTCGGGACTCCTTTCCCGGGCGCAATCCACATCCCGTGGCCTGGACAGCTTGGCCAGCTCGCGCCTCTGTACTGCGGGGCCAGACGGCCCTCCGCGGGACCCGGACGCAATCCACATCTGCTAATCCGGTCTGACCCGTCGCCCGCCGGCCCTCGCGACCTGGAGGCGGAGTCCCTAGTCCCTGCCTGCAGCGTCTGGGGTGAGACTGCCGGTGACCCTCTCCTGAAGGGTCATCTGGGGGACTGCGGACTAGGACACCCTGGAGGGCGAGGCACTGGGGAATTGGTGGAGTGCTTGGCCCCTCCGCCTAGGGTGGGGCAGAGAAAGTTCTTGAAGGTTTATTTATGTACGTGATGGGACAGTCTGGGATTCAGGAAAACTGTTGGGGTCCATCCAGTTCTGTTCGCAGTCGCCCAAGTCTCACTTCTTCATTACTTTTGTAAATCGGGGGCTCTGCCTGGAGGGAGTCTGGGAGAGCGGCATTCCAGGTCACCCGACTTCCCTCTTGAGTCAGTGTGTAATCTGCCCCTTCTTAGTGGCAGTGGGGTCTGTCAGCTGGAATCTTAGTGTCTGTCACTGCCTCAGTGTTCAGTTCACTCATGTGCAAATGGGAGTACCGGTGGGGGGTGGGGTGGAGTGGGAAGACAGTTCCTGTAAAGCCTTGGCATGGGGGGGGGGGCAGAAAAGCAGAAAATGGCAACGGCCTTATGATAGCCTCTTACCTCCCTGGTTGAGGACAGGGACAAGCAAATGGCCTGAACAACTCTTTCCTTTAGAATTGGAGGTGGCTTAATGTGCTAATTATTCTTGCACACAAGTGGGTTTCGGGGTGGCCGTGAACCCCTTCCTCATCAGTATTCAGTATCAGCTGTTTAATGAGCTAGAGCTGCATCTGGGCATCTGGAGGACCCTCTATCCCAGGACACCCTGGGGGCAGCCCGAGAGGAAGCAGTTTCTTCCTGGCCTGCCTGAACACTGGTCATCAGTTTTTAGCGACTGTGTCTCCATGCAGCGCCTAGCTACCTGACTACCACATTCCTGAGCTTTGTATAGCACACAACATCCCTTCTTTCTATAAGAAGGCAACTGAGGCCCAGAGAAGGAAAACTGACCAATGACAAACTGGAACCACGACAGGGGAACTCCTCAAGTCATGGGGGACTCAGGCTGCTGCTCTTGACCATGAAGCAGGAACACCTGCCTCTGAGAGACCATTTGCAGATAGATATTTAGGATAAAACTTTGAGATCCCATACAGGCTGCTAGTATAGGGGGCCGGAGTGACTAGAGGAAACCACCTAGCTCCCAAGGGCAGCGGTGTCCCTAGGCAAGGGCTAGTAGTTATTGTATTCTGATGGTACTAATGGGGACAGAAAGTGGAAATTAACTGAGAAAGCAGGTAGAGATGGGCGGGGAGAAGCCGCCAGAGGCAGAAGCTGCAAATGTCTGTGGCCTAAACCCAAAGATGGTCTGGGGATGGTTAAAAAGCTAAGAGCTACCCAGAAAGGTCCCAGATCCCTGCCACCTCCAGGACTACTCAATATGCCCATCTTAGAGTCCTGGTTTTGTTTATCTCCAATGAAACAGACTCCGAAACAAACCGGAAACACCAGATAAGTGTAAAAAATTAAACCTCTTATTTCCTCATGTCCTTACATTCATTATTTTGTTCTCTTGTTTTTTTTTGTGATAGGGTTGTTTCATGTAGTTGCCTCTGGCCTCCAATTTGCTATGTCCCCAAAGCTAGCCTTTAATTCCTAATCCTCCTGTTCTTAAGTGTCCCAAGTGCTGGGATTATCAGCATGTGCCACCACACATGGCTGTAATGCAAAGAAGAGGAAACAGGCTTTGTCTCCTACTATAGCTGGGCTAGCCACAAACCCACAGCTATTCGAGTACTGGGATTACAAACCTGCACCACGCCCAGATTATGCAGTGCTGGAGACTGAATTCGGGTCTTTGTACTTTGTAGGCAAGAAGAGCTGGACCAACTGAGCTACATCCTCAGCCCTTTGGTTACTTTTCAAAAAGAGTCTTACACAAGGCCTCCATTTTCCTTCATCTCTGAAATGGGACTATGAGAACACACACACACACATATATTTATACACGTGCGTATATATACACATGCACACATATATACATACATATACACATGTGTATACACACACACACATATGGCAGCTTAACATATTACTTGAGAGACTGAGACAGAATGATGGCCCAGAGTTCCAGGCAAGTCTAGGATAAATATCAGGTTCCAGTTCTGCCTGAGTTAGTATAAAAAGCCAAAATAAATAAGATGGACTCGATATTAAAAACCAATGGGGATGGGCAAGGGCAAGAGATGGGTGACAGGCAGCCGACCCAGCTGGTGGCTGACAGAAAGACCTCTTACCCTGTCTCCTCCCGACTTCTCCCCTAGATATGGAAGTGAGTGGGCAGAACTGGACCTTGGCTTTCGACTTCTCCTTTCTGAGCCAAGAAGAGGACCTGGCATGGGCGGAGCTCCGGTTGCAGTTGCCCCGCCCTATGGACCTCCCCACTGAGGGCCCACTCACCATTCAAATTTTCCACCAGGCCAAGCTGGGCCCAGAGCAGGAGCCAGCGGACTGCTTGGAGCGAGTACGGATGGAAGAGTTCACTGTCACTCCGTCTCAGGTCACTTTTTCCTCGGGCAACACTGTCCTGGAGGTCACCAGGCCACTCTCCAAGTGGCTGAAGAACCCCAGGGCACTGGAGAAGCAGGTGTCCAGTCTGAAAGGAAAGTGCTGGCATCAGCCCCGCACCCCGCCGGTCACCACCACCAGCGACAATGTGCTCATGCTGTACTCCAACCGGCCTCAGGAGCAGAGGCAGCTGGGCGGCGCCACTTTGCTCTGGGAAGCCGAAAGCTCCTGGCGGGCCCAGGAGGGACAGCTGTCTGGAGAGAGGGGCCGATGGGGCAGAAGGCACCGCAGACATCACATGCCAGACAGAAGCCAACTGTGTAGGAGGGTCAAGTTCCAGGTGGACTTCAACCTGATTGGCTGGGGTTCCTGGATCATCTACCCCAAACAGTACAACGCCTACCGCTGTGAGGGCGAGTGCCCTAACCCTGTGGGGGAGGAGTTTCACCCTACCAACCACGCCTATATCCAGGTACGTTACCTGGAATGGAACAGGCTGCTAGACATGGGATGGGGCTTAAAGTCTGCGATGAGATAACTGGGTTTGGTCATTCAAGCATTTCCATGTTTGCTCCTATGAGGATGTAGATTGTTACAGCACTGAGTCCTGTTCTGTGGGGTTACCCTGGGAGCTCTCTCTCTCTCTCTCTCTCTACACACACACACACACACACACACACACACACACACACACACACACACACACACACCAGGCCAGCCCCAAACATGGCCCAGGATTCACTCCCCTGGTGCTGGGGTTACAGCACCACTACGCCCAGTAATTACAATATTGGGGCTCAAATCCAGGACCTCAAACATGCTGGGCAAGCACTCTACCAACTAAGCTGCATCCCCAGCTTCTCCTTGTTCCTTTAATTAGGTGATGGGAACAGAACACAGGATCTCTGCTCCTCTGACATTCTGGGAAAGGACATTCAAATGGACTTTAGGACTGGATGAGTCTTCCTCCTCCCGCTCATTGCTTGTCTGACATTAATCTTCTCCAAAGTCTGTCTATTTCAAGGCCAACAGACTATTTCACAGACATGGGGGTTCATGAATTGGTTGTACGTGAAGCATCCTATTGTTTATGAAGATAATTTTTCACTTTAGCCAGAATTACTAATTCTGCCTCTCCCTCCTTCTCCTTCCTCCCTTTCAGAGCTTGCTGAAACGCTACCAGCCCCACCGGGTCCCTTCCACGTGCTGTGCCCCTGTGAAGACCAAGCCACTGAGCATGCTCTACGTGGACAATGGCAGAGTGCTCCTGGAACACCATAAGGACATGATTGTGGAGGAATGTGGGTGCCTCTGACAGAGCCAGGGCAAGTGCTGAATCTGCTTGCCCTCCACAATGCTGGTAAACTCCAGGGAGACGCATAGTGTCCATCCAGGGAGCAGAAACGGAAGAAGGGCTCTGCCTGCCAGAGCTGAAGAGGAAGTCCTGCCCCCTGTGCTTACAGGGCTCTTAGACCTGCCAGGCCAGAGGCCTGTGGGGAGGCAGGAATAGAGAAACCTTTCAGGGGTTGGCTGGGCTCCCTGGAAATAGGGGTTATGAACTTCACGAGTGCTCTTTAACCTCTGAAGCCCTAGAAATGGTGTGCAAAGGCTGAGGTATATATGTATTTATTTTTTTTTTGAGGCTATCCGTAGCTTTCCTGTATTCTTAAAAGTGGCTGTGACCCGCTGTCCCTCCCTAAAGATCAGTATAATTGTATTAGATTAAAACTAGCCATTTGGCTCTCCCTGATTCAAGCTGGGCTAGGGGAACCCCCACAACTTTCTAGCTGGCTGGCGCTAACAGGCTGGCCTTCCTCAGGGGCTCCATGATCTCTGCTAATGAGTTGCCTAAACAATAAAGCCACTGTCCAGTTCTCGCAGGGCCAGCTGTGCCTTTGACCAGAGAGGTGGGCACTTATCCAAGAGGGACTGGCCATGGTGGACAACAGAAGCCAGAGCTGTCAGACGTCTGCTTGGCAGACATAACCCAAGTCTATTAAAAGTCAGTGAGAAATCACCCCAGGCTCTCAAGGTGTGTTTTGGGGTTCTGAGGTTCCAAACCAGCAGGGCATGGGGCTGCGGTCATAGATTTTGCAGAGAGGCTGTGTGATGTGTGTGAAAAAAGTGGCAGAGCCTGACTGGTTTGTAGGAAGTACCTCTAAGGGCTAGGGAATGATTATGATTCCGTGACAGCTACTTACTTAGTATATGAAGGACCCTGGGTTAAACCCCAGCACAAAAAGCTGGGCCTATTGGTGCACACCTTTAATTAACAGCACTTGGAAGGCAGAGCTGGTCTTTATGGTGAGTTCTAGGACAGTCAGAGCTACACAGTGAGACCCGTCTCGAAATAAACAAAACGAAGCATTTGAAAGGGAGGGCCATGGATCTTTGTCCTCTGGGCCTTCTCCCACTTTTGAGATTTTAAACCTTAAAGCAAAAGACCTGCTAAGCCCTGTTGAAACCACTTTCGGGGGGGGGGGCATGACTAGCTCCTGATTCTGCATGGCAGCAGAAAAGAAGGAAACTCAGATACCTAAAGAAAGTTCTATTACAACTTCCCTCCCCACAAAAAACAAACACCAAAACCTTTAATTCCAGCACTGGGGAGGCAGAGACAGGCGGATATCTGAGTTCAAGGCCAGCCCTGGTCTACAAAGCAGTTCCAGGACAGCCAGGGCTACACATAGAATTCCTGGGCGGGGGGGTGGAGGCAAGTTCCATCACTAAGGTATCTGCTTGTTCTTTTGGCTGGGGGATGGAGCTGCTTTGGGGGTGTGCAGATCTGCAGGAGCTCTTCCTCCTAGGATGCCCATCCCCTTTGCTCCAGCCTTGGCTGAATCAAGGCAGTGAGACTGGTCCAAGCAGGGACTGGGTTGGCTACAACCTAGCCTGGGCTTGACAAAGGTGACTCTGCAGCAGAGCTGGGTCGAAGAAGCTCTGAGCTGAGCAGTTCAGTCATCAGGGTTCCGCGTTGAGGTTTGAGTCAGGGTCTCCCTTTAGCTCTGACCGGCTTCAAACTCAAGGCAATTCTTCCGATTCTCAAATGCTGGGATTACTCATCTCTACCACCATGCCGAGCCAAATTTTACTTTTGAAACGTTATGGGATCCACTTGTTCCAAGGGCTTTCCTGAATGCTACCCCAGAAGGCCTTTATGGATATCCCAGCAGTGCTGAGAGATGCAGGGCACCTGGATGGGATCTAGAGGACTAGGCTAACCTAGCTTAGACCAAAGGCTTGATCCTCAAGACTCAGCCCACTATCAACAGCTGAAGTGAAGTGGCCTCTCGGGGGCTTTAGGAAGCAGGTGCCTGCAGTTCTTTCACAGCCAGAACTTCAGCAGGGCTGAAGGCCAAGCTATTTGTGACTCCAGCTTGTGTTGGCTGTTCTGTGAACTTGGGATGAAGTTCCCTAGTGACAAGGTATTGCCTATGTCAAGTTGGGGATGGAGGCACAAAGTGATTAACTACATGTGTTGATTTTGCTCATCATGTAGCTGCAAAACCACTGGCTGGCTGCGGGTCTTGCTAGAAAGTTGTGGGGTACCAGTGTCTAACAACTGCTCCAGATCTGGTCCATGCATTGGCAGGATGCCTTGAACATCCCAAAGGACTCCAACAACTGTCCTATCCAAATGTAGGACTTTTATAGATATTTGCTCTCGAGGCAAAGGTCTGGTGTTCTGCAAGTGTAAGCAGTGCCAAGGGCAGAAACAATAGCTCACACACACACACACAGAGTGCAGGTGGGTCTGGCAGTAGCAGAGACAAGACGATACAGAGTTGAGGGGCGCAGAGCTGTGACCTTCTGCACCATAACTTGAGTTTATCTCCATGTTAAGAACCCTTTTAGCCAGGCAATGGTGGTGCAAGCTGTTTTTAATTCCAGCACTTGGCAGGCAGAGGCAGGTGGATCTCCGTGACTTTAAGGCCAGACTGGTCTACAAAATGAGTTCCAGGACAGGCTCCAAAGCTGCAGAGAAACCCTGTCTGGAAAAACAAAAGAATCCTTTTACAGCAGGAAGACCCCATTCCTCCATCTCCAGTAGAGGCTCTGCAGGTTATCCCAGTTCCGAGTTCCCTTTAGTCCTAGCTTTATACAGTTCTGTCTGCTCTAACCCACATCTGCACAGAGGGTCTCAGTATAGCCCATGCAGTCTAGATGGAGTACAGATGTGTACCAATTGAGTTCTCCAAGAACTGGCTGTACCAGCACTAGGCAGATTCTCCTGATCGTACAACCATTTCTTTACCCTGATAGAACCAGAGGTTGAGAGATCTAAGGCCCAGCACCAAACCTCTACTCTATGACACTGTCTTGACACCTGTCCACAGCCACCAAGACAAGAAAGCCAAGCCAGGCTCATGCAGCACAGCCTAGAATGGCTCTTGCCTGTGGGTCGAATACCAGATACGTGTATCAGATACTCAATTCATAGCAGCAGTAAAATTACCATTATAAAATAGCGATGAAAATTATTTTATGGTTTGGGGCGGGGTCACCACAATATGAAGAACTGTGTTAAAGGGTCACAGCATTAGGAAGGTTGAACCACTGGTCTAGAGCAAGATACATATGCCAGGGTGGGCTTCTCAGAGCAGGGAGAGGCCATTAAGTTCCTGTGCTCACACTCATAGGACCAGAATGACAGTGATCCACTAGGGAGACAGAAAGCAGCAGGTCTCTTAGGCCTGGCTTCTCCAGCAGAGCACACCAGACACTGTTCTGGTGTATGGGTGTGTATGTGGGCCAGGCTGGTCGCCAACTTTTAGCAATCTTTCTGCCTCAGCTTCCTGAGCAGTGGGGTTTCAGGTGCAAACCCTGTGTGGCATCTGACCCCAAATAAACAAGGAATGAAAAGAAAGAAAAAGGCAACCTGGGTGGTGGCCACACACACCTTTAATCCCAGGACTGGAGAGGCAGAGGTAGGCAGATCTCTGAATGAGGCCAGCCTGATCTACAGAGCAAGTTCCAGAACAGCCAGAGCTGTTACAGAGAACCTATCTCGAAAAACAAATAAATAAAATCAATATACCAAGAGGCTAAGTGTGGTGATACAAGCCTTTAAACCTAGCACTTGAGAGGCTGAGGCTTGTGACTCTTTACACTCAAGGCCAGCCTGGTCTACATGGGAAGTTCTAGGTCATCTTGCAATTTATAGTGAGACCCTATCTCAAAAACAAACAAAAAACTTAACATACTAAGTTCAGGCTGGCTCTGTGAAGTGTGCCTGTAGCATATGTGAAATGCAGGGTTCACTGCCCAGCACCACAAAACACCAAGTGAATATTCAATGTCTTTATTTAGCTGTAACAGCAACCGTTGGTGAGAAATTTTCACCTAGTTCCAAACACCTGCTGGCTTGGAAGGACAGTAAGAAAACAAACTGGTCATGGAATCACACAGGACTGTCTTAGGATTGCATGGAACCTTCCACTGACCATTGCTGACAGCGAAGGGGGAAGGTAAGGGGACAGCACATCAAGGGAACCAAGTAGGAGGACCAAGGAAAGTACTGGCAGCCTCTGAAATTCCATCCCATGTGGCTAAGACTGCAGCAGTGAACAGGGGAGGGTCTATCAGAAAACACAGATTCTTAATATGGACAACTGGGAATCGGAGTCCTTGGGATTCTTCAAGTTGCCTTCTGTAAGGCTTCCTGGAACCATGAAGTGGGGGCCAAGGCATCGGTGTCACGCTGGCCCCTACCTCCTGCTGGTGTCCCCACTCTCTTGCCCTCCAGTCATAACCCCCAGGCCTGGGCTGGGCAGTTTTTAAGACTGAAATGGAGAGGAAGGGGGTATAGAGGCAAGAATGGGCATTCTGTGCTAGATCTGTGGATTCTCTTAAGTTCACAATGCCCTGGATTTAGGTCTGAAGCCCTGGGAGGAGCTCCCTTTGGAAGTATCAGCACAGCCAAGTGTCTACCAGGTATTCGGCCTCTCGCCACCACCCTTCCACCTCAGAAAGGTAAGCAGGAGTTTGTATCCACTAGGAACTGTTTCCGCTAGTTCAGTAGCCTTTTCTCCTGGGCACAGTATGGCCCACTAGGGTGCAGGAAGAGTTGAGCAAGCAGAGAGAAACCACAGACCACCCAAAGACTTTGAAAGTAAGCTCTGCCATCCAGGACCTGCCTAAGGGAAAGCTAGTTTCAGAGGGTGGGGAAGGTATCTTGACTGATCAATTTACAGTCTTCAGCTACTGTGAGCAGCTTCAACAAAGTCCACCACTACCGTGAAAAGCACTGCCAGAGCAAGAAGCACGGCGGGATGGCAAGCACCAAAGGATTGCCTCAACTGCGGGAATCCAAATTCCCGTCACTAAAGGCTGAGAGGCAAGGGGGCTGCGGGTAAGTCAAAAGCTCAGACAGAACCCTCTACCCCAGGAAATGGTGTTCCTCCACTATAAATCCTGCCTTCCATGGTAAGGATGGGTCAGTGATTGGGTTTTCGCAGATCATTAAACAGCTGCCATGGGCATGGAGTCCAGAAAACACACTAAAGAACTACGTGAAGACAGTAGTGCCTTTCCTCTAGAGGGAATAAAAAGGGCTCCACCACACCCCCCCCCTCAAGCAGCCAGCACCCAAGATGCAGATGGGAAGGAGGCTCCCTACCTGATACACACCTGGTACACTCACAGTGGCAGTCTATACAAGATGCTGGATGGACTTTCAGTGGAACACAACGGATGAGAGGCCCAAGAGCTCCCTATCCCTCACCCCTAGAAGGAAACCCACCACGAGAGCCTGAAATACACTCCAAAGCAAGCATGGCTACAGAAAAGAAAAGGCTAGAAGACAGAGCATCAATTCAAACAAGAGCCTCCATCTAAGGATGGGGAGAATGGATGGCAGGAAGAAGCAGACAGCCCATGAGATCCGAGGCACTGGTGAGCCACCTCTGTGGCTTCCCCTACAGGTGAAAACAAGACTGCTGCTTTTTGTAAGAGCACCCTTCTATCAAAGTGTTGGAGGCAACAGGCTACTCTGCATGCTGCACTGACCAGAGCAATCAAGTACAGACAGACATCTGCATTTTTCAGGTGTCCCTGGCTTATGATCTGGGTGGGACACTTTGACCAATGCATGCAGGTAGCACCTGACTTCAATATCATCGTCAAGAACCTGAACTGCTTTCTGCTCTGTAACTCATGAACCTGACATCTAATGTCCTTTGATTCCTCTGCCAAACACCGCTCCAGTTAAGAAAGTTTGTATGGCTGCACAGGAAGGCCCCCAATTCCTTTTGTCAACTCTGGGCTAAAGGAAGACAGAAGAAGTAAATGACGCTTGAAGAGGCCACTTCAGAATCTCATAAAAGCAAGCGTTCTTGAGAACAGGCAGATGGGGGGATGCAATGGATCTGGGAATCTCCATTTCCTGCCGCTTTTCTTAAGACAAATGGGTAGCTTTGGGGAAAGAGAAGTCTTTTATCCCAGTTTGGTCCCATTTTAGAGGGCTGATCTGATAGCAATGTGCACCCAGCTTATGGCTGTGGCTATCCCCATTTCCCTGAGGACTACTTTCCTCCTGTTAGGGACACGGTGGTATAAAGGCACTGCAACTTTCTTCTTACCCACCTCCTTTTCTAGGATCAGTCACTCAGGAAGAAGCTAGGTGCTATGGCATGATACCTACAGAGTCCCACATGGAACGAGGGCGGCACTCTGCTGACAACCACAAAAAAACAAAGTATGGAAGTGGGATTCTCCAGCTCCAGATGAGAGCAGCCCCCACCCACAGACTACATGCACCTCCATGAGACCTCATGCTAAAGCTCCATGCTGAGCAGCCCCTAACCCTATTTGAGACACCAACAGGTAGTGTTTACTCTTGTGAGATATTAGGCTGGCAGGTAATTTGTTACACAGCAGTAGATAACTCTATCTAGAAGCCAGCTTTTCCACTCCAGTGCTCTGGAGGAGGCAAGGAAGCGCCTATTTCAGCACAACACAAGGGCTGGGAACTCAGGAGGAAGGGCACTGCTGGTGTCTCCCACCAGGGCTGGAGCTTCTTCCTCATGTAGGTTGATTGTCACAAGTGCAGAAACACATCCTTCATAGCAACAGTGTAGATGGCTACTAAGGTTTAAATAACTGTCTCCTTCAGGAGGGAGACTGGCAGATTAGGACCATACACCCTCCATTTAAGCCTCCAGCTGTGAGGCCTTTGGACCACCCAGAGGTGAACCCCCACTGGACCCTGCTTACTAGAAAATGGCTCATGAGGCATGGCACAAAAATGCCATCTGCTGGAAGCTTATGCCTTGCCTTGTGCAATTATCTTACAATGCTCATGTGTGGAGGTCAAAGAACAAGTGGCCTTCATATAAGGCCTGCACCAAGCAGTGAGGGGTCCTGGCAGAGGACATAAGGCTAAAAGGCTCCTGCACCACACAGGTGACACTCCAAGGAATACTAGACATGTTTTCTGATTGAGGAGGGGCGCACGTGCAGACTCTCCAAGATGGCAAGAAAAAGGGAGGTTTCTCTATCCTACTCAGCTGCCATGTCTCCCTTCCCAGTGGTGGGTCCAGGAAGCCACTCTGCTGCAGACAGCGTTCAATGAGGAAGTATATATTCTTCTGCACACTCACGCCTCCTCACGGCAGAGTTCACAGAGTGCCAACACCAGTGTGCGAAGAACCATGAGCCTTGCTCGCGAAGAATGAAGCTCCAGGGTACAGAGGTCCTGAGCAAGCTGCTTATGCCAATGGCAGCACAACTTAAGTTTTCCCAAGACTCCATGAAATAAAACTTGGAGTTTAATTAAAAACATAACAGATACATTTAACAAAGAAATAAAACTCTTCTGATTATCAACTTGGAGACTCCAAGAATCCCCAAACATTGGAGACCCAGCTTATTCCTGAGACAGCGATCATCACAGAGGGCTGCAGTACGAGCTATTCACATTGTGTGGCAGGAGACAGACCAAGTTCTGCAGATGTCCTTCCTTTTTTCCTAAAGTCTTCACAAAACAGGGTCTTTCCATGGTGCAAAGGAAAAACAAACAGCTTACTTTCCCAGACAATGGGGATCTGAAATCTTACTGAGAGGGCCCAGGACAAGCCAGGCGATGGTGGCGCATGCCTTTAATCCCAGCACTCGGGAGGCAGAGGCAGGCAGATCTCTGTGAGTTCGAGACCAGCCTGGTCTACAAGAGCTAGTTCCAGGACAGGCTCCAAAACCACAGAGAAACCCTGTCTCGGGAAAAAAACAAAACAAAACAAAAAAACAACAACAACAAAAAAAACTCCCAGGACACCAGTGGCTGCTGTACTGTCTTCCTATAGGAGGACGGATGCACCAGCCTGTCTATGGGGGCCTCTCTCCCGGGATCTCCCTGTCAGTCCACAGTACCAGGAGAGTGGGGCAGGGTGGAGCAAGAGAGCAAAAAGGTAAAGGAAAAGAATGAAGTTTTCGCCAACAACTCATAGCAAGGCAGACTAATCCAGTTTCACAAACCACTATACTCCAAATAGCCCCCTAAACTTGAGAGCACAGGAAAGCACTCATAAGGAACTATGAGAGATAACCAACAGTGAAGACAGCAGACTTGCCTAGGAACATTTTTTATAACCTTCCTAATACTGGAAGATGTTTTGTTAAAAAAGTTGCAGTTCAAAATCGTACTGAAAACTTATCTAAAAATAGGTCTGTAGTCATCTTAAAAATAAAAAGTCTCTCCTCTGATAAGAGAAGAGACAGATATTATCAGATACCAACATGGGAGGTATCTTTGATGTAGATTTAGAAAATGGCCTGGTGGAAGAACCAGAAGGAAAGAGAGTGAGGTTTGAAAAGGAGAGAAAAGGGAAGCAAGAAGGAAAGTCTACAGTGAGGAGAAGGAAACTGGGAGGAACGCACTCTTTCAGCCCATGCTTCTCTCTCGGCAGCCAAGGATAAAGCAGATTCAGAGGAGGGGAATAGGGGAGTCAACTTTAAACTCAAAATATAATAAACTGCAGGGCAGCAAACCTGCTAAAGTCTATCAGGTTTACACCATGCCTACTAGGGCTGGTTACTTGTGTGGCTCAGTCCTCTACAGAGGCCAGAGCTGGACATTCTCAGGCAGACCGCTGGGACCAGCTGTGCCCACCAGGTAACAACGACCAAAGCACTGGCACTTCAAATGACTGCTCTGGGAGCAGACAGAAGTCCCAGGGCATCTTGGAGTGAAGAGGACTCTGCCTGCAAGATGCAGGTAGGAAGAATGGCAGACAAGCAAAGACCACCTGGTCACCCAGGGGTCTCTTCAGAAGAAAGGTTTAAAAAATACCTGTGCCAATGAATTAGCTAAGAGATGAGCCATCACACCCAGGACAGAAGCCTTCTCCCCAGAGAAAAGGGAGCTTATGCCATGTGTCCCAGGAATGCAGTCGGAGCTACACACAGGAGGTACAAGAGCTGTGCTCCAGTACCAAGGACAAACATCTCCAGGGATAGGGCAAGCAGCTCATTTTGTTTATCAATCTTCAGAATGGTTTAAAGATCCCACATCCAGCACTGACTCACCAATGGGATGCAGGGAGGAAGACAGAAGGGAGTACAGGAACAGCAATGGGCACCAAACCTCCTTCCCTCCCCAGTCACCCCAAGCAGCGGTGCTTCTTCTTAGAGTTCCTGGACTTGGGGCAAATCAGAAGGGGGCAAAAGATTCTTAGGAAATGAACAGGCAAGTTACAGGGACTGCTTTCCTCCAAGGACCAACCGCTCAGTTCCAGAGTAATCCAAGGGCTTTCATCCTAACCTTAACGGGGCAGGGGCAGGAGACAGGGAAGTTGTGGTCAATGGAGCTTTATCTCCCATCATTTGGCACCCAGAGGGAGGGGAGGGGAACTGCCGGCTTCTCGGTTCACTGTGTTCCTACTGGCCCAGTCAGGTCACATGGGCCGCTGTGCTGAAGCCTCCTTAGATTGTGTAGCAGTCAGATGTCCATTTCAAACTGGGCCTCATCCCCTGGTTAGAAGGAAAGAAAAGAGAAGTTTAGTACAAAGAGTAATAGCAAAGCTGTTTTCTTTCTTTCAATAGTTTTTTTATTCTTTTTTAATTTATTATGTATACAGTGTTCTGTCTGCATGCCAGAAAAGGGAACCCGACTGAATTACAGATGGTTGTGAGCCACCATGTGGTTGCTGGGAATAGAACTCAGGACCTCTGGAAGTGCAATCAGTGCTCTTAATTAACCTCTGAGCCATCTCTCCAGCCCAGCAAAGCTGTTTTCAACGTCCTTCTCTACCTGCAAAGGGCAAAACTAATAAAAAATCCTGTTTCCTGTGGCCCACGATACCTACTCCTGAGGGAATACTAGCACTCAAATTCAATACTTAAATTTGAGGTGAGCTTGGCCTACATAGCAATAAAACCTCATTTATTTTTGTTTTGGCCAGTCAGTCTCATCTGGGGGTGGGTGTGGAGAGGAGAGTCACACCAGGTGAGGTGTAAGGGGATGTTTCCAGCAGCTCCTGGTCACTCAAGGGAGCACACTTCTGGAGGCTTTGAACCTGGCTCCTGCTCTGAACTGACACTTGCAGTGGGGTGGGAGGGGAGAGGTGTGACAGCCTACACCCAGAATCCAGGCACTCAGGAAGCTGAGGCAGGAAGATTGCTGCAAGTCTGAGGCCAGTCTGGGCTTCATGGTGAATTTTCTGCAGCCTTGGCCAAGAGCGAGACCTTGCCCCCCTCCCAACCAAAACCCAAGTAAACAAACAAAAATGAAAACACCTTAACTGGAGTTTCAGAAAACATGAAACACAAAGTCTGAGGTGAGCACAAGGCCACCTCATCTTGTCCTGCTCTGAAGGTACAGGGCAGTCCACTACAGTCACTCAATGAAGATGGCAGATCTCTCTCTCTCTCTCTCTCTCTGGAACAGGGTTGCTCTGTGTAGCCCTAGCTATCTTGGAAGTTGCTCTGCAGACCAGGCTGGCCTCGAGATCCACCTGGGATTAAAGGCGTGTGCCACCACCACCACTTGGTCAGGTTTTCTTTCTGGGGTTGATGGAAGCAGGTGGCCTAAGATTCTGCTTTGAGGTGAATGTGTGCATGTGCACACTTGTTCATGCAAGGAGGTCGCAGGGACAACGTGTGTGTGCAATTGTGTCTATGTAACTTTAGGCATGGTTCTAATTCACCTTTGGGTTGCCATCCTTTTTTTTTTTTTAAAGATTTAATTTATTATGTATAAAATGTTCTGGCTGCATGTGTGCCTACAAGCCAGAAGAGGGCACCAGATCTCATTACAGATGGTTATGAGCCACCATGTGGTTGCTGGGAAGTGAACTCAGGACCTCTGGAAAGAAAGTCAGTGCTCTTAACAGCTGAGCCATCTCTCCAGCCCCCGGGTTGCCATCCTTTTTAAAGATTGCGTCGCCTGGCGGTGGTGGCTCATGCCTTTAATCCCAGCACTCGGGAAGCAGAGGCAGGCAGATCTCTGTGAGTTCGAGACCAGCCTAGTCTACAAGAGCTAGTTCCAAGACAGGCTCCAAAACCACAGAAAAACCCTGTCTCGAAAACAAAACAAAATTAAATTAAAATTAAAAGACTGCATCTACCTATATAGACCAGGTGGCCTCTAACTCCCAGAGACCTGCCCGTATCTGCCTCCTGAGTGCTGGGACTGAAGGTGTAAATGACTACATCTGGTTCCCATCCTGATTTGGTTTTCCCTAGCAATTAGGTGGAAACTGAAAGCACTTCAGTAGATGTTTAGGAGGAGAGGACACGTTGCGCGCATGACCGAACTCAGCTGTGCTTTGATGAAGCAGCATGTCCCAGTCTACAGTCCACTCCAGCACCTCCCCAGCTCAGCCCCTCACCAACTGCGTGCTTCCTGTCATGATTGTTCAGGTTGTTCAAGTTGTTCGCTTCTACTTTGGAGTCTTCAATTAAGGTGCCAGGGCTGGTGACTCCAGGGATATTGGGCAGATGGCAAGGCGGGGTCTGTGCCATGGGAGAATTGCGACGATCCAACAGAAACTTTCGGTCATAAATGATTCGTGTTCCTAAAACACAAGGTTGAAGAGTTCCAATTAAATTAAGGTACCACCAACACAATGACTACTGAAGCTGGCTACTTGTGTGGCTCAGTCCTCTTCAGAGGCCAGAGTCAGGCAATTCCCAGGCAGACTGCTAGATCAGCTGTGCCTACCAGGGGAGACCAAAGCACTTCAAATAACTGCTCTGGGAGCAGACAAAAGTAACGGGGAATCTCAGAGAGAAGAGGAAGAATAACAGACAGGCAATGACCACCCAGAATTCCTTCCAATGTCATCTAATCCCTGGCATCAATCCAGCTAAAAGGAGAGACTACCCCCTTCCCATGAACAGGGAGGGCAAGGTGCTCTGCTTCTGGGAAACTCCTTTGATTCTTCAACACTCAGCTCCAATGCCACTTCCTTCCCCTTCACCTGTGCTTTTCACAACACTCAATACATCACCTTGTGCAGGACTCCTGCCTATGTATGTGCCAGTCTACAGAATTCAAGCTCCATATGGCAGTTGTGTCTTATTTATTTATAATTGATAGCCAAATATTTCAATTTTCAAAACTGAATCCCTCCCTTCCATTTCTCTTTCTCCTTAAGAAATTTAACCTGGGTTGGAATTTTGGATCAAATCTTGTTTCAGCCACTTACCTACTAGACCAACTTAACTCCCAAAAGTCTTTTTTTTTTTTAATTTATTTTTATGTGCACTGGTGATTTGCCTGAATACACGTCTGTGTGAGGGCACTGAACCCCTGGAACTGGAGTTACAAACAGTTGTGAGCTGTCATGTGGGTGCTGGAAATTGAACCCAGATCCTCTGGAAGAGCAGCCAATGCTCTTAACTACTGAGCCATCTCTCCAGCCCCCATCAAGATAACTTTCTTAATCAAAGACTAAGCAAATATAAACAAGTATGTGAAAAAAGCAGATAAGCACCTTCTATTAAAGGCTACCCAAAGAAACCTGGAGGCTGACCACCTCCCCTAGAGAGATAGAATACCCTATTTCTTCAAACATAGACCTAGGGCTGGAGAGATGGCTCAGTGGTTAAGAGCACCGGCTGCTCTTCCAAAGGTCCTGAGTTCAATTCCCGGCAACCACATGGTGGCTCACAACCATCTGGAATGAGGTCTGGTGCCCTCTTCTGGCCTGCAGACATACATACAGACAGAATATTGTATACATAATAAATAAATAAATATTTAAAAAAAAAAAAAAAACATAGACCTAAGGATGGCTCAGCAGACAGAGGAACTTGCTGCTAAGCCTGTTTAACAGGTTCAACACTGGGTCGTACATGGTGGAAGGAAATGGGTGATTGCCAAAGTCTGTCCGGTTTAAAAACAAGATTATTGTTAATTTACAAACGAGTATTTTGCCAGCATGTACGTGTGTGTTCTGAACGTACTAAGGCCAGGAAGCACTGGATCCCGGGGAACCGCAGTTACTGGTGTTATGAGCCACCATGTGGGAGCTGGGCGCAGAACCCAGGTCTTCTTGAAGAGCTTCCAGTGCTCTCCGAGCCCTCTCTCCAGCCCCAAAAGTTGTCCTTTGACCTCTGCACACTTTGGCAATATAAGCCCATGCCATGGACATAAAATAAATATTAACACAACAAACCACTTGCAGTCAGTCAGATGGAGAAGCAAGCTTGCAGTACCACCACTCACGAGGATACTACTCTCATCACAAGCCAACCCCTCAGGTTTATCTGTACCTAAGCCCCCCACCATTTAGTCCAATCACACTGCGTGCATATCAAAGCTTCTACACTGAATTGTGGTCAGAACACGTTCTTTTCTAGTCATCCCAACTTGATACTTCTAATCTGTTTGGAAACCCATAATCTGCTTATTATTAAGCTATGTAGATTAGGGGTCAAAGGTTGAAAGGGGACAGACACAATGGCTTTTTCTAACAAAGGGAAAGAGCTTTAGTGGACTGACTCTACACATTTGTCTGACACCCTATCAACTAACGTATTTATGGGGTATAATAACGTTCTAATTCATATGTATACCAGATAATTATCAACTTGGAGTATTTCGCACATTTACTGCCTTAAACTTTTGTCACTTTTTCCTTTTTTAAAATTTATTTATATGTATGAATGTTTTGCCTACCTGTATGTATGTGCACAATGTGTGTGTCTATGAACAGTTGTGGGTGCTGAGCTCTTAATTGCTGAGCCATCTCTCCAGCCCCAATCTTGTTTTGACAATGCCTCCCTATGCTACCCTGCTGGCCTTGAACTTGGTATCCTCCTGCCTCAGCCTTTTAAATGCTGAGATTATAGGCAAGCACTCCACACCCAGCTGAAATGCTTTTCTTTTTATATGACAGCATGTATGTATGTATGTACACATGAGCATGTGGTGGTCAGAGGACAACTTTCAGAAATCTGTTCTTTTCTCTCCTACCATGTGGTTCTCAGGGATAGAACTCAGCTCATCAGGTTTGGCAGAGCACACCAAAATTTTGATAGTACATTAAAATCCAGTCTTTTAACCACAATAAGACAATGATCTAAGATGCTGCCATAATTAAACTTATAAATTACAGATAGTAGTCCTCCCTTTTCTGAGGTTTTGCCGTGTTTTCAAAGTGGTAAGAAAGCAAAGATTTAAGTTTCAAATAACTTTCATTACAGCTGCAGTTTCAATTATTTTATCATCGGTTACTACTGATGTATAGAGGAAATCAGCAGCCACGGCCTACTGCTTCTTGTAGTCTCCATGGTTGGGGGAGATACCAGTAATGTGAACAAACCAGTTGTTAATCTCTTCATCAGCGGACGGACATGTGGCTGTTGCAACACCTTGACTATTAGGAATGACACCAATTTAAGATGTAGATATCCATGCACAGGTTATGGTGTGAACAGCCATTTCCTGGAGCACATCCCAATATGGAATGCTAAGTCACATGCTAACTGAGGAACTGCTGTTTTCCAATGACTGCAGACTTCACACTCCTGCCAGCAATGTGAGACCCCAACTTCTCACAGTGCAGTTTACACCGGAGTCTTTTTCATGCTAGCCGCCCTAGCTGACATGAAGTGATCTCCCCTGTACTGACCTACTCTGCCTTCCCTAATGACTAATTCTGTCGGCTCTGCACATCATGTTCTTTGGCTTTTCTAATATCCATCACCTTTGGAAAAAGGTGTCAGGACCTCTGACCTTTTACTGTGTTTTAATCATCCCCTCAAAATGTGTGTGCATGTGCTGAGGATTGAACCCACAAGCTTGTGTATCTGAGGCAAGTGCTCTACCACTGACTGAGATCTCCAGCATTATTTTTTATAGTCTGGATATAAACACACACACACAATTTATTTCTGTTTATATATTTTCTCCCTCTCTCTCTTCTCCCATCTCCCTCCCTCCCCCAGTCCTGATGATTGAACCCAGGGGCATGTGTTCAGTGATGTCATTCTTTGAAGCATAAAAAGAAAATAAAATGTTTAAATCCCTAGCTGATCTGGAACTTGGCCCATCTAATACACACAATCGAGTTCTAAATGCTGGGTTCATATGTGCCACCACCTCAGGTCCTAGTGTTTAACTGCAATGAGATCCAATATGTATATTTGTTGCTATTGCTTGTGGTTTTGTTGTCAAATCTAAGAAATTACTTAATCCAAGGTTATGAGTTCTGTTTCCTGTTTTTTTCCAGGAACTCTACCTGTGACTGTGGGTCCAAATTCTGTTTCTGGGAGAGCAGCCAGTTGTAGCCTCTTTTCAGTAGCCACTGTCTACTGAAAAGAGGTTCAATGTGAATTGCTATGAACGTCTACTGGATGGGGGAGGGGTGCACTGAGAAGGCATACATACTACTTCTGGCTTTTCAATTCTTTCCCATTGCTCCACATACAAGTGCAAACCACACATTCTGAAACCCGGAGATGAGAGCTATTTCAGGTCCTGTAGAGTTCCAAGGCTGTTCCCAAAGATGTGAGCTTGAACTCTGACCTGTCTGTGTGCATCATTTCCTAATCTATCAACAGTAAGTGCCTCTTGAATCTCTTTCAACATTTTTTTAAAAAAAGACATTTATTTCATGTATATGAGTGCTCTATCTGCATGTACACCTTTATGCCAGAGAGGGCATCATATTCCACTACAAATATGGTTGCTGGGAATTGAACTCGGGACCTCTGGAAGAGCAGCCAGTGCTCTTAACCTCTAAGCCATCTCTCCAGCACCTCAATATTAATTTTTAAAATTACATTTACTTAGTGTATGTGCACGCACATGCACCTGGTTGTTTGAGGGCATATATGCGATGGAGTACACGTGGAGGTCAGAGGACAACTTGAAGAAGTCTGTTCTCTCCTTCCACCACATGGATCCTGGGAATCAAATTCAAGCTTAGCAGCAAGTCCCTTTACCTATTTTAATGGCCACTCAACATTGTGTAGTTCCCAATGTACAAGTTTTGACTTTTGACCAGTTTTATTCAGTTGTACCTACTGAGCTAAATTACTACCTTTCCACACCAATTTATTGAATTTTGAGTCATTGCAAGTTAAAGAATTTACTGATTTGGGTTGGGCAGTGGTGGTGCATGCCTTTAATCCCAGCACTCAGGAGGCAGAAGCAAGTGGACTCTGAGTTTGAGGCCAGCCCGGTCTACAGTGAGTTCCAGGACAGTCAGAGTTGCACAGGAAAACCCTGTTTCAAAAACCCCAAATAAGTAAATAAATAAGTTACTATTTGGTAGTTACATACCAAATGGGATGGACACACACACACACAAAACAGCACTAGCAACCAGAATGTTAGTGATTAATAAGCACTTGGCATCCCAAAGAATCGAGCTATTCAAAGAAAAATGTTAATTATCAGGAAAAATATTCCTTTAATTCCTAAATGGATATCATTTAGGTAAAGAATCAAAGACAATCTATTAAAAATGAAAATATTCCATGTCCTTGACACATGTGAACTTGTAGACAGACTTTTTTTGGTTTTGGGGGGAGAAGCAGGGTCTCTTCCTGTAGCTCAGGCTGG